AGTGCTTGTCTTTTTTTCACATATAGTTTATATTATGCAATACTGTATCTGTGTATGTTGCTTCCAATTCTGAAGCTAGCGTGAACCATGCTTAAGTCAGGGCACTGCTTACTCAARGAATCAAACCCAAGACTCCAGAGGCGAGAGRCAAATGAACTAAACCAGTATGCCTCACAGCTTCTTCTTTAATAGCTCCTCTAGTACTGTGAAAGTGGTTTAATTTCCTKTAATATGAGATTACCTGACGTCCAACTCTGTCTGGTTGTGGCCACATGGCATCATCTTCCTTTAAAACCTTTAACAAGTGAAGGTACAAAATAACTGTTATAAATACGGTGTTCTGATTGGTTGACAGCACATGGTTTATGAGAKCACACAGCATGTGTGTGCACTTTCTATTTCGTGATCCATATCCAAAATAATTCATTTTTAAATTTTTATTTTATGAAAGGGGATTGACAAAACATTTGAGAAGTGTAAAGAAACTTGCAGCTACATTATGTGCTTCTCCTAAAACTTCTATCAYGTTCTGGCATGTTGCTCATTGTTCCATTGTTCAATTTCTTCCAATTTCCAGTTTTATTACACAATTCCCTTTGAATTCTATCTAATCCATGTGAAAAATAAGTTTGGTTGCAAGRATGTGAAGCAAAATAAGCTAAATTGATGGAATGATGACTTTAGTTGTTTTTTCTTTCTTTTTGTTGCAAAAAGGGMAGTTTTTGTATAACTGTAAAMAGCTTGGTGCAGTATGTATGCCTTGCCGTGACTGTGATGCATGTGTGAACGTCATTCTAGAATTTTGATTGGCTGCYTTTTTCTTGCACGATGTGATTAATCTGACATAGCCGTCACCATGGATAGTATGGATGGATAGTATGGATAGTAAATTCTTGCATAATGTGATTTATCTGGCATATGCTTTGTCATGTAAAGACTGCATTTGTGCCAAAAGGGTTTCAAAGTCATACTAAAACTGCTTATAATAATTGTTAATAAGTTATAATAATTGCTGTCAATAGTATCACAGGCAGCCATGGAATCTGCATTTGCACCAAAAGGGTTTCTCAGTCAGCCATGGGATTTAGGCAATTTYAGACAAAAGTTTAAACAAACAATTTTGTTTGGCCGAAATTGCAACATCAATCATAATTTCTTGGAATAGACAGTTTTCTCAACTTGATGGGCCACAAAACTGAAAAATGCAAATTCAGTAATAAACAATTTTATTATTTTTCTCGAAAATCATAGCAATRCATGCATGGTAATACTCATCAGAAAAATCATGTTCTGGTGTCGTGGTCAATCAAGTTCCTTAAATTTGGATGCACATGTAATCTTGAGAAAACGGTCTATTAAACTATAGTTACAGAGTTCGTGCTGAGGTAACAACTTAAAATTCAAGGACTATTCAAGGAGTATGCAAGGACCCAAAAATGAATTTTCAAGGAGTATGTTCAGCTAACTATGCCAAGGTTTTACACAGTGGTTGCACATGGCCAACTTTCAGATTTTCCGAGTTTTCAAGGAGTTTCGCTAAAATCGTAAAATTCAAGAGCTTTTTAAGCGCCCTTGAAAATGTKAATTAAATTCAAGGAGTTWAAGGAGTAGCACGAACCCTGTAGTTAATAAAAAATGGCCATCAGCYTTACCTCACTGTCATCTATGATCCTCTTCAATTCATTTATAACTGCTTTATGACAATACACCTGTAAGGCAGGAATACACTACTTTAACACAGGCTTCCCATCTAGCTAATATCTCCTGTTTCTAACTGTGCTGAACAGCTATTAGCAACCTTTAGATCCGACGACGAGAACAAGAATGAGTATGAGTGTTTAACTTTTAAAGAGAGGCACTATCTTTTTGTAGTCATGATCGTGTACATAGATTGAATCTTTATATTGTAAATAATCTGAAGGCACTACGATTTAGTGTTAACCATGTGCACAGGACCAATTTTAAATCTCCTACTCGTACTCGTCATCGGATCTAAAGGTCGCTATTAAACAAAGGTCCTTCACAATRTACTCAACAATYATTCRCCAAAGGCGAAGCGATTATCAGTGAATGTTTACCGAGCCGGGAGTCTTTGAGTGGCGAGGAACATAAATATTCACCATAATCACTGAAYCTAAGGTGAATAATTGTTTTAGTATAATTTYAGACTTGAATATCAGAGAAAAGATGAAATTCAGGTTAAAGAAATGTTTTGGTAATTACTTCTGCTCTGGCAAACCTCAAAATCACCACTCAAGCTGTGATTATCGTCTCAGAAACACTGGTTCCTCGACCAATCATAGCATGTGTGAAACTCTATATTCAATTATRCTAAAGTTATTTATCTGTTTTATTTGCATCGAAAGCATCGTCAMTTGCACCAAACCAAGTGAGCCAATCTTGATGAACCCCAAACCAAYCTAAGCTGTTGGGTTGTTAACCCATCGTAGTATGTAGCTTGACAATTAATATTTTCMCTCTCCCAATGATGGGTTAACAAGCCGAAAGCTTRGAATTTTAGAGATAAMATTAGACTTTGAGGAAACAAAAATRTRTCAAAATTTTGTTAGAACGATATTAAACCGTGTCTATAAAACAGAAGTACCATCTTGTTACTTTTCATAGCAAAATAAGCGGGGATTACAAGCCGAAAGCAAAAATGAAATTCCCTCTTCTTTTAAATCACATAAAAGCGCTTAAAACATCGTGTTAAAGCTTAAATTTTAAGGTTTAACTTCACCTCTTTTCGAATCATTGTGTCGTTCTTGTAGTTCGAGTTGTTCGCATACCGWAGTTTACCTGCCAAAAAATATCCAACAAAAAAGCAAATTAAGAACAGAAATAGCAAACAGACAAAATAAAATGGTATTTCATCTAGATATTACCATCAGGACGGAACTCAAATTCTAAGAATTCATGTCCAAATTTKCCTTTATGTCCAACGTAGTAACGAAGATAAAAGTCACTGGCCGCCATTTTGGATCAGAAGCACGCGGTGAC